CACACAGCAATGTTTCAGTTACTCAGCCACTAGCCAACCCAAACAAGAACGAGACGTACATATCGGTCCACCAACCGTTCTTGAAGTTAAGTACATTTTTTTGAACCTGAAACAATGAAAAGCAGCAGGAACTCACGGCTTGTCACCTGACGTTTTTAAGGATGGAGCTAGGAAATTACTGATATGTAGTGAATGGGAATCAGAGGTAGCTGGATCAGACTAGTCTGCTTCACTGGTTTTTCTAGTATATAAAAAGGGTAGACATCTTGTGAAAACCATAAGGAACACAGCTTGACTAATATCGTGTCCAAGATCTTAGAGTTCATAGTTATCCGGCGCCTAAGTGGAGATCGGAAACAGTAAACTCCAGAAAACCAGACAGGTTTTAGACCTGGATATGCAACAATCGCATTTCCTCACTCCGACAGGTTCTGCAATACAGGTCAACGACTGACATATTTCTTGACTTGAAGGTGGCCATTGACTCTGTCGACCGTGAGATGTTATGGCAGAGTGACTGCCAATGGAGTGCCAAGCATGTATATGATGCTTATCAAAGCTCTTTACTCAAACTCACGCAGTCATGTAAGAGCTTATGGGGAGTTTTCAAGTGAACTGACGACAACCAATGATATTCACCAAGGATATCCACTGTCACAGTTCATATTTAGCTTCGTTACAAATGTACTAATGAGCATAACCTTAGGTAAGTCTGACTTCACAGGGATTGATATATTCCCTGGAGGTCATCTGGTTGACTTGGAGTATGCAGACGTTCTTGACCGATAGCTGCTACCTTGACTTGGTGGTCGGGCCTGCATATCACAATAACTCAAAGAGCTATACTGGTGGAACACTTGTTCCCTCGAGGTCCTATCATACCAGAGAGGTCTATTGGATAGTGGTTAGAGGAAAAGCAGTAACCGATGTGGTGTAAATTACCACACTATGATGGGAGTTATGCTCATCGAAGGGTGTCCGTCAAGGCTCCCCACTCTCTCCATTCTTATTCAATTTTATCATGGATATTCTTATGGAGGCCTACCTTTCGTCAGCTGATTACACAGAGGTTGACCTAATCGAAGCAGAATTTTCGATAGACCTAAAATACGCAGATAACATAGTCCTGTTAGGTAAAGATGCTGAACAGTCGTCTTCTGGACACTGAGTGGCAATTCGAGAATGTTTAAATGTTTCTCACCACCCAAACGTAAATTGTTGCTCCATGATTGGTCTTCAACGGTGCCCCACCGCGGCTAACAATAGAGAGTGTAGTGGTTGAGTGTGTCAGCCACTTCACTTCCCAGGTAAGTGAAGTGGGATTAGTCCTGGTGCGTTGGTCAGTGGCCGATGAAATCTCTACACGAATACAAAAGGCTCGGTTAGGTTTTGCCAACTTACGCGACCTATGGCGCTGCCGTGATATTCGATTGTCTATTAAGGGTCGGATGTACTGCACAGCAGTCTGGTCTGTTCTACTGTATGACTGTGAAACATGGCCATTCAAGGTGGAAGACATGAGAAGGCTGGCTTCAGATGTTTGACCACTGTTACCTTCGTAGAATAGGTTGTATTCTGTGGTGTCACCACGTGGGTAACGCAGAAGTCAGGTGTAGAGTTTTAGGGAGTAGAGGTAAATCAGTTGACACGGTTGTGAAGCCTCATCGACTGAGATGGTTGGGACATGTGTTACGTGTGCCTGGTCGCCATCTGCCTCGTCACACAATGTTGATCAAAGTAGGTCCAGGCTGAAAAAAGGCTCGAGGTGGCCAGACTAAAACATGGCACCAATGTATGAAGTGTTTGGCTGTTGGTTTGAGCCATGTGAGGAGATGCAGACTAGGTGGTTGGGGTCCATGGGACAAGAGGAACCAGTGGTTGGAGACTCTAGGTGATGGCATGGCTGAGAACGGATATCAGTGGCGCAGATGAATGCATACATTATCCTCATCTTAACGCTATGCCGAATCTCGCCATCTCCTCGTTCTTCCTTTCTCTTTTTGTACTTTGTGTTTCTTTTGATTGAATTTTCTTATCTTCATCTTGCGCCTCACTACCTTTTTACTTGATGTACTGATACGAAGTGTGGCAACTCGGGTCGTTACGCAGTAATGCTTGTTCCTATGTTGATAGTGATGATGAAGACGATATTGTCCTGCTAGGTGGAGACGTTGATAAAATATAGGGTCTTGTGAGTGTGTTGAGCAGAAACCTGAGTATGTTTCGGATGCGTCTCACACCCGTTAAATCTCAGATGCTTCAGGGCAGGTTTGCAACTTCTTCCAGACTAAGGATAGAGAGTGAAACTGTGAAATGAGTTGACTAGTAAATTTACTTCAGGAGTTTCATCAGCCCGTACGAGATAGTTACTGATGAAATCTGTACCGGATAAGGAGAACTCGTTCAGTATTTACCAATTCGCACTTTCTCTAATGCAGGCGACATATGCAAGTACCTGTTACAGGGCCAGTATACGGCATTGCAGTTCTCTCAATCCAGTCACACAGCTGTCACATGGTCGTGGAAAGTAGAATATATGAAGCAGTTACAGGTTTTTGACCACAGATGTCTTGATAACATTTCTCACGCATACTGAAGTCATCACGTAAGTAATGTTGAGGTCAGACGACAGGTATCGGGCGAGGGAGAGAACTTAGTAGATGAGGCTGTGAACCTCCACTGACTAAAGTGGTTAAGATATGTGTGTCGCGCATGCTGAGCCATCACCTAACTCGATGTGCAATGTTAGGCGAAGTGGGATTAAGTTGGAAGAAGGTTCAGAGTGGTCAGAGTAAGGTGTGACACCAGTGTATGCAGTCTCTAACTGTCGGTTTGAGTTGTGTAGGGAGGTCCCTGAGACGATAAGAATCAGTGGTTGTAGACTTGGTAACATGGCTAGATATGCATGTTCTATTTTTAAGGTGCCACGTCGTAACTTGGATAAACCTCTTTTTGTGGATGGTTCTAGGAAAACTTTTGTCCGTTTTCGGATTGAGGAAGTGTTTTAAGGACGTTTCATACATGGTGTTTGATTGTGAATTCATGATATGGCCCTGAAGGTGGGGTTTAGGCAGCTCATATATATATATATATATATATATATATATATATATATATATATATATATATATATAAACTAAACGGCACTTAAATGTGTACGTTTTAGCAGTACAGTAATTACAATAAGTGTAGGCTGATTAAATGCAAACTTAATTTTAGTAGCTAACTACTCAACGCACAACGTAAATTAAGATTAGCACAGACTGCAAAAGAGAAAAAATATCGGTTTCGAGGATTTCCTGTATTAATTGTCACATTAAGCCAATTATTAGGTTTTTGAAAAAGGTACATTTTAGGTCAGAAACGTTTTACATGTGTATCCATCGTTGTCTGCTATCTCGACTTCTGCAACGGCCAGTCGGAATATTTCGAAATGTGAACAACTTCAGTCTATTTTCGTCTGCGTAGTACAAATCTAGTGCGAAAGTTTTGTGCGTATGCAACAACTGATATACGCTTTACCTACAGTTTGCACAATTGTCTGTTGTCTGAGATTTCCTGAAAATTCAATTAACTCATAGATTTTCATCAGAATAATACGTAATTATACAAATTTTCTGTATCGCACTCCGAGATTTACATTGGAATAGTCAACGTGAGAAAAGCTCAGAAAACTAAGAAATACGAAGCTCGCTTCTAAAGAACCATGTAAAACGCTAATTACACCTCGAGACTAATCTGTGAACTACATCCTGATGTAGTAGCCCTTACTGAAACCTGGCTAGTAAAGGATTTAGATTTCACGCCGCTCCTCACAGGGTATTACTGTGTAGGGACAGATAGGGTTGTCGGTCGCGGAGGTGGTGGCATACTACTCTATGTCCGCGACGACGTCCACATACAATCATTCGCGTTCGAAGCACATGAATGCGGGACCTGTGAAGTGGCCAGTCGCAAGCTGAAGTCAAAGAAAGGTTTCTGTACTATCGGGGTCATTTACCGTAGTCCAGCCAGCCTTTCAAATTACTTCGTGCCAACCCACATGCGTAACTGGAGTAGAAGCAACAGATGCCTAATAGTTGGGGATCTGAATGCTCCACACATAAACTGGACAAAGCAAACAGTCTCAGCACCGGCAGTCCCTTCCAAAATGATTTACTGGAAATCAACTCTAATAAAAGTGCAATAATGCACATTGGTCAAACCAACTGTTTCCAGTATTCCGTTGACGGTACATCACTACTCCTAGTCTTTGAACTGAAAGACATGGGTTTTATCATCAGTCATGATTTGAAAACGTCGGCGAACTGTAATGTTTATGGAGCGAACGGCTTCCGTATATTATGGTCCATCCACAGAGCTTTCAAAAGTTTTGATCAGAATACTCTATTCTACTTACGTTAGATCCCACTTAGAATACTGCATTTAGGCAGCCAGACAATGCCTATAAAAGGATGCTGACGTACTCGAGCCTGTTCAAAGGGTAAGTACTAAGCTTGTGACAGGTCTTTCGAATCTGCCCTATGAGAAACGCCTAGATCGGCTAAACTTATTTCTACTGCCTTAACGTAGGAAATCAGGTGATCTCACACTGACACTTCATATCCTTAATAATGACTTCGGTACTGATATGTCCTATCTTTTCTCCCCTGCTAGGATTGACTATCTCCGAGGGCGTTACAAGAAAATCCGAAGACTGCAATCGAATCAACTTAGCGTTAATCTGTGTTTCTCATCGTGTAGTCAGCGGCTGGAACTCCTTACATCAATAAATAGTATTAGCGTCTCCTGTTAACGCGTTTAAGGAGAAACTAGATCTTCACAGAGATATCTTCTTTGAGGATTAACACAGGCCAACTGTCCTACTACCCTTATGACTGAAATTAGTGCAAAAAAGCTTGTTTTTAAGATATACAGCATTAGATCGACCCACTGAATGAGACTGGAAGATAACAGTTACTCCGATAATATAGTAACTCCAATACATTATGAACACTCACGTGAAAAAAGCACTTCCGTGACGCCCTTGAAATGTCCAATGAGAACCAAGGAGTATGGCTAAAAGCTATCCCTGAAACAAATGTGGCTCGCCTCCGTCTCCTGCCAACCTTGAACGAAATGACGAAGTGTTTTTTTTCATATTCAGTCGTGTTCAGGTGAATGTTGCAGGAAATTGGCTTCAATGTAGATAATATAGTGCAAATAATGGAAGCTGTGATGTAGGGTCATCATTATCACCATCCATCCATTGGAGACAACTAATAGCTACATTTTTCTTGATAGGTATGTCGGTAAGTAGAATTTGGCATTTGTGTCCTAAGCACTAGCTACTGTGTATTGACAAAGCTGATGATGACTCTAAAGTCGTTGATTTCTTAATTTCAATGAAGTATGCTTAGTGATATTGCAGAACTATGCATCCTAGGATCTTGTAGCGTCATACACTTCCCCAAAATCAATAGCCTAGGGTTTGACGACTTCGACATTGATGCTGACCTTGATAGTTTAACTGGACTCGCTAAGCTGAAGGCATCCGGTCAAGCATCCTCGCCATTTGGCACGCTGTCGTGTTACGTTGCATTGCTCGTATTCGACTCTCTAGCCAGTTAGTTGGAACGCATCGGTATTTTGGCATAACCATCCAAATATACTATTCCATCCGACTACGCTATCGTGTTCTTCCTTGGTCTCGTATTCGTGGGTATATAACAAGTTCGAATAATTAGTGATTGGTCTTTGCGTCTGTCAAGTTCGCACCAGGACAAATCCTAAATTGGTGAGCCCGACGTGATCAAATATCCCGACGTGATCACATATCCCGACCAATAGCAAGTATTGAATTGGTGAGCCTGTTCCATTTTATATTTGTTTATTGTTTTCATTTCGATAACATTTATATATCCATTTACTACACTTTCTCATGTCCGACCACACTCCCAAGCTTATTCGTATTAAGCCGACCTCGAACACGATCCAACTCGTGCCATATTGGCCAGACAATGCAGAAACATGGTTTCTGTATGCCGAGGCCGATTTTCGAGAACAGGGTGTCTCAGATCCTCATCTCGATTTCTTGCTGTCATACGTTCACTACCGCGAGAATTAAACAGGTATGTTACAGCAAACATGTTTAATCCTGAAGTAAGTGACCCTTATGCACTTCTAAAGGCCGCACTCTTGAAGAAAAGCGATCTCACAGATCGCCAACGTCTAGACGAATTGCTTCGTAACATCGAGCTAGGCAGCCACTCAGCTACTGAAGTCCTCGCACGCATGCGAGAAGTAATCGGTGCACGAACATTTGACGATGGTTTCTTCCGAGAACTATTTCTCTCGAAACTACCACAACCGGTGCAAACCGTGTTGGTGACACTCCAGTCAGTCCCACTCGACGACCTGGCAGCCTCAGCAGATAAAATACTGGAGATATCCAGCAGACCCGTCTCCAACGTATATTCTATCTGCGACAAAACAGAGCGCCAGGATTCGGAGGTGACCAAGTTGTGCAACTCTGTGAAACGGTTGCTACGATCTCGAAGTCCTAGATCACGTAGCACTTCACAGAAACGCACCTTGGCGCATCGCAGCAAGTCGCGTGGTAGCCCTAAAACGAAACCCAACAGGGTGGAAAACCCTGAATGGTGCTGGTTTCATAACACTTACGGGGATGAAGCCAGAAAATGTCGTAAACCATGCCGTTTTAAGAAGGACACAAACTCGGGAAACGGTCACGCCGGCACGTGCTCACGGCAACCGTAGCCGGCGGAAAAAGCCGTTTGCTCTACGTCACCGACATTAAAACGAAAGTCCGCTACCTCGTCGACACCGGCGCAGAAGTTAGCGTTCTTCCAGCAACGACAAAGGAGCGTCATCTCGACCCATCCTTCAATCTTCAAGCAGCCAACGGCAAGGCAATCGCGACATTCGGGAGACGGTATGCCTACCTCAACTTAGGTTTACGCAAACCTATTCACTGGATTTTCCTCCTGGCAGACGTCTCTATGCCCATCATTGGCATAGATTTGCTGAACCATTACGATCTACTCGTAGATGCTCGCCGTCGACGACTGATAGATAACAACACAAAGTTATCTATTGGCGGCACCACCTATGTAGGTCCGAGTTTAGCCATCGTTAGGACTAAACAATCAGGCGACGCGTCCTACCAGGCAGTTCTGGAGAAATATCCAGAGTTACAACAACCGAAACACACTCTTCCGTGCATAACCAGCAATGTTATGCATCACGTCACAACCACAGGTCCACCTGTGGCATCCAAAGCTCGCCGTTTAGCCCCCGATAAGCTGCAAACGGCGAAAAATGAATTCGACCATATGCTGGAACTGGGCATTATCAGACCGTCGAACAGTCCTTGGGCATCGCCATTGCACATGGTGCCCAAAAAGGATAGCAACGACTGGCGTCCGACCGGTGATTACCGAAGGCTTAACGCCAAAACAACTCCGGACTGCTACCCTATACCCCACGTTTACGACTTGACCGCAACCTTATGCGGCATGAACATTTTCTCGAAAATCGACTTAGTCAAAGCGTACAACCAGATACCTATGGCAGCAGAAGATATCGCGAAAACAGCCATTATTACTCCTTTTGGCCTGTTTGAATTCCTGCGCATGCCTTTTGGTCTTCGGAATGCAGCACAAACATTCCAACGCTTTATGGACGACGTCTTCCGTGGTCTGAATTTTGTTCATGTCTACATAGATGACTGTCTAATTGCGAGTCCAGATAAGGAAACACACCTTAAACATTTGGACCTCGCATTCGAAAGACTCAAAAAACATGGCATCACAGTTAACTTACAGAAGTGTGAAATAGGAGTTGAATCACTCAGCTTCCTTGGGCATACCATTGACAACAAAGGTATACGCCCATTGAGAGATAAAGTGGCGGCTATCACAAACTATCCAGAGCCGACCACTGTGAAACATCTCCGCACTTTCAATGGCCTGGTAAGTTATTACCGAAGGTTTATCCCTAACTGTGCCTCTGTCATGAGACCACTCACAGATCTACTTCGAGGAACTGCGAAGTTCGTGTCTCTGGACAACGCGGCTAGACTTGCTTTCTCCAAAGTCAAGGAAGCCATTTCGAACGCAACCATGCTTATGCATCATGACCCCAATGCTCCTCTGAGTATTGCTGTTGATGCATCTGATTCAGCAATTGGAGCAGTTTTGCAACAGTTGACTGACAACCAGTGGCAACCGTTAGCCTTTTTCTCGAGGCGGCTGCAAGACGCGGAAACAAGATACAGTACATTTGGTAGGGAACTCCTAGCCATGTACTGTTCTGTACGCCATTTTCGACATTCTGTGGAAGGTCGTGATTTCATTATTTTCACAGACCACAAACCGTTAACGTTTTCCCTCAGCTCGGCGTCTGACAAATACTCCCCTCGTGAGTCGCGACAGCTGGATTACATTTCCCAGTTCACGTCAGACATCCGCCACATTTCTGGAGCAAACAACTCCGCAGCCGACGCACTATCTCGAATAGCTTCGATAAACTATATCGAGGGTATTGATCTCGTTGAACTAGCTCGGCGTCAAAAGGAAGACCTTGAGCTGCATCATGAGTTGTCGTCCACAACTCTCAAACTGCGACTTTGTCCTGTTGGATCAGACAAGGATGCAATTTTGTGCGATGTCTCTGCTAGTCAACCACGCCCAATAGTTCCGAAGAGTTGTCGACGCAACGTCTTCAATACGTTGCACAAACTCTCTCATCCAGGTGTACGAGCCACCATTAGGCTTATCGCACAACGTTTCTGCTGGCCTGGGATGAACAAAGACGTTAAGGAGTGGGCCCAGTCGTGCTTAGCTTGTCAAAAGTGTAAAGTCACGCGACACACGAAAAGCCCTTTAGGCTCATTTCTAGCCCCAGACATGCGTTTCGACCACGTCCATATAGATATTGTAGGACCCCTACCAGAATCTAATGGATGTACCTACCTTTTCACCTGTGTTGATCGTTTCACACGATGGCCGGAAGCAGTACCCATTAAAGATATTACTGCCGAAACAGTTGCTCGTGTTTTCGTCGAAAGATGGATCGCGAACTTCGGATGTCCATCCTACGTCACAACCGACCGTGGGCGCCAATTTGAGTGCGGACTATTTCACGCTCTAACGGCACTTTTAGGTTGCACTCGGTTCCGAACGACAGCCTACCATCCACAAGCAAATGGCATGGTAGAGCGTTTCCATCGACAGCTGAAAGCTTCCCTTTCAGCTACAAACATACCTCAGTGGACCGAGGCTCTGCCTCTAGTCCTACTAGGTATTCGTAACGCGTTGAAAGTTGATGCTGGATGCACTCCTGCAGAACTCGTCTATGGGACCACTCTTCGCCTACCAGGTGAGTTTGTTTCCCCTTCAACTTTCAAACATGTTTCCGATAGGGCATCTTATGTGACTAGGCTTACAAACGCAATGCGTTCAGTTAGGCCTTCTCCGATTAGACCGCAAACGACTGATGTTTTCGTCCACCCCAGTTTACAGAAGACATCACACGTGTTTGTTCGCCACGACGCTGTTCGTCGACCACTTGAACCACCCTACGACGGGCCGTTCAAAGTGATTAAGCGACATGAGAAATTCTATGTAATTGAGCGAGGCGGACGCGAAGATACTGTCAGTATCGACCGTTTGAAACCAGCTTATTTCGAAGGCAACCCCATTGTAAGTGACGTTTCAGCTCGCTACATCCGACCGACGGATGACTCAATTATCGAAATTCTCGACGATGTGCCTGGTAATGCACAGCTGCAACAACCAGCGGCGCAACAAAAAACACGATCAGGTCGAACCGTCAGGTTCCCAGAGTACCTGAAGTCATATTCAACTTAGCTATGTGTGTGCCAACCATTTTTTTTCGAGGCACTATTTTTCTTATTTACCGGCGCACAAACCCTCGTACACTTTGCCTTTTTATATCAATTTTTATTTACCATGTAATAAAAACTAAAAAAAACGGCGAAGATAAGCGTAAATTTTTCTTTTTCGACACGTTTATATATAAATAATTCCCATTTTTACGCAACGTTTTCGTGGTATTAAAGACTTTTATTTATATTCCAGGTGCAACGAGCACTGGACGGAACGTCGAAAGGAACAGATGACCGCGACCGACGTACAATTTCATTTATTGTATTTTATTTATTTAATCGCCACGACACCCTAGAATAAGGTTCAGACAACCAGGGGCCACCTCACGCAGTGAGCCCATCGGAGAGTTTTACCAGTGGAGAAACCACTGGGTTTTTACTTCCGGCTGGTATCGTCTTAGGGTCCTCACGAACCCACTAGGGGGGGAGTGATCTGTAGCGTCATACACTTCCCCAAAATCAATAGCCTAGGGTTTGACGACTTCGACATTGATGCTGACCTTGATAGTTTAACTGGACTCGCTAAGCTGAAGGCATCCGGTCAAGCATCCTCGCCATTTGGCACGCTGTCGTGTTACGTTGCATTGCTCGTATTCGACTCTCTAGCCAGTTAGTTGGAACGCATCGGTATTTTGGCATAACCATCCAAATATACTATTCCATCCGACTACGCTATCGTGTTCTTCCTTGGTCTCGTATTCGTGGGTATATAACAAGTTCGAATAATTAGTGATTGGTCTTTGCGTCTGTCAAGTTCGCACCAGGACAAATCCTAAAATCTTAATTTCGTTGTGCTACTGTGCTCTCTTGTTATTATTTACTAACCAATCAGTACTTTTAAGTAGCATATGTCAAGCTTCCAAGAACACTAAAATCTCAGTTGATATAACTGGAGCATTCTAGGCAGTTTTGTTGCTGGAGTCATTTTCCATTTGGAAATGGGTGGAGGATGCAGTTAATGAGGTTCAGAAAGTACGTAATTGTTGTATTTTACGACTAACACAGGCTAATCAGACTCACGATGTTCACACAAAAAGCAAAGAATGGGGCCATAGTCGTTTTAAGTACACCACTACTGTATACAAGCGAACTTTCAGCGTGAACCGCGAGTCCCAGGGTAGGGGTTTGATCAAGAGAGAGTATTTCCTCATATTTATTAGGATGGTTTTTGGTCGGAATTTCTAAATTGTCTATCGGTGTTTCGGTTTCCCCCACAAAATGGTTCACAATAATCCCCTTGAGCAGCGAAACTTCAGACATTGTGTTGTAGAATTAGTGAACGGTGGCTCCTTGGGTTCTACGCCTGTCTTATTTGAATATGTCCTGAGTTTGAAATGGTCACAATTATCTTCCCGCTTCTGAAAAACCTGAAAGGATAGAGACACGATTATTAATTAGTCCGGTCTCAAGGTAGTATTACTGCATCTGGTCTGGGGAAAGCATGTGATGCTTGGAACTGGCGACTAACAGAGAAGAGGAGGAGAATTTGAAATCCGTTTTACAGCGACGCTCCTCCATAGATGAATTAATTTGGCATTTCAGGGATGAAAGGAATAAATCTGTCGCGGCAAGAGAAGTGAGAAACATGAAGTTGAAAGTCACGAGAAGCGAGTTTGCAACTGCCAATGTAATTTTGCTTGGATGGTTGGACACAACCTGAAATATTCAACTTCTTAAGCCTGAATTGAAGCAGAAAGAATTTTATTCGGGAGAAGGTTATTCCTAGGTGTTGTCGATAGTGTAGTTCTCCTTAAATCAAGTAACAGAGCTGTGTCATAGGCATACGGAAGTAGCCGGGATCGACTTCACTTATATTGCAAACAGAAGAGGGTAAGGTCCCCGTATTATTATTATCAAGTAGATGTCGATTGTTTCAGCTCATCACTACCGATGACTTTGGACTTGGAGGTCCCGTTAAGGTTAGTATGAAAGAGAAAAGAAGTGAAAAGGGATCGTTTATGGGCACTGAAATGCTTCGTTATTGTTTGCTATTTATTTTCCAAGTTCCACCGGTATTACGAATTATCCGTAGATTAGATGACTGAACAGAAAATATGCATGGTGCGCAGCATTCATTAGGCATTTTCTTATTGCTAGGAATAACGCTGACAATCGTGTTGAAAGTTCACATAGGTAAACGAAAAGTTGTCTTCGGAGATCAAATGTCTCCACCCAGCACCCGACATCGATAGTGTGAACATAGAAAACTGACAGTTTCTGATCCCTGACGCCTGGTCACCACATAATGAAACCCCCTTCTGCTTTCATGCTTTCGGTCCCGGTATGTACAACGTATGCATAAGGTACACAGCTAGGAGGCATGAAATCGTCCCAGAAAGAATACCGAAGTTGCTATGGGGAAGACTAAATTTTGCAAGTAGGGTTGCCCGCAGAGATTAGTTCACCTGGTCACTCGCCCGAAATCGTTCGTAGCCCACGAAGCAACACAGGATCTCAAAGGAAGTAGAAACAAGTACAAAGAATGTGAAACTAAAGTTTCTTCGTGGAAAATGACTACAAAGTTGAAGTTGATCTTTAGTCATGCGAATGCATTAATGGAGCTTCCACAACTTGTCTTTATCCATGCACACACTTGCTCTTGGCACACATACGAAAGCTTAGTTTCACACATATGTCGCGCTTTCTGGTTACCTACCTGAGTCCCGTAGCCATCGTTGGATATGACCAGGAGTTCCTGATGTGACGCGTCACCCACCACATCATCAGTCTCATCAGTGAAACCACGCGACCGCATATTTGCCAAACGCAAAGTGTGATATCAAATTGCCGTCACACGCTCGAAAATTTTGGTGATGAATTCGCAGCCGATACCACATCTAAGATGAATAAATTATGTAGAAGAATCCTTGACACGCGAAATGAGTTCTGGTCTCCCGATACTATTGTGTAACACAGGTCCAAAATGCTTCTCCAGTGGGTCTGCTATGGCTCTGTCACCCTGATATGTCTTCAGTGTCTGAGACGTCCGGAGCCTTGTGACCGAAGTTACGGCTGTACGAAGACAAACGGGGGCAAAAGGTCCTTACGTACTCCGTTGATGCGTATTTTTACTCAAATTTCGTTAGTGCTTTCATTTGCTTGAGTAGACTGGAGGGGCTGCTGCTTGTTATTGCATCAAGTGGAATACCATGAATGGTATTGTTTGTACGTACTGCGCTAATGAGTAAGCATATGCAATCGTTGGGATGAAAATGTCTGGGTGACACTTGTATCCCTAAGAATGTAGGCCTTGGTACATACCACCTACTTTATGATGTTGAAAGACAGCATAGACGGGGGTGACTTGGATTAATGTTACTTTTTGAGATGGAATTGGCAAATGTAGATGAAAAACTAGTCGTAATGAGGTCTTTGTATGCTCTGTTGCTCGGTACCAAGTCAGATTGTTGCTGAACCAACAGACTGCTGAACATTGCCATCAATACATCCGTTATTTGAGGGACAGGAAGATGGGATTTACGTCGTAATTTACGACATTCGGCTTTTCACGAGGGTAACTAGTATTTCAAGAACCAGTACAAAACAGTTGAAGGTACCTTTTTCTGCGCATGCAGCATAAAATTAACATTGTCTGAAGTAGAAGCCGCATTGTTTCGTGCCATTTTTAATCCTCGGCATCACCGGCTTATAATAACACAAGCCCTTTTGGTGTGAATTACGAAGTCTCGCTTTCTTATTAATCCTATGAAAGGCGCTTCCAGTCTGAACGTCTACCGACCTAATCCATCTCCTGTTGTTTCCCCTGACGCACCTTATCGATAAACTCCAACCATGTTTGAGTGAGCTGAGCAGAAACTTCTTGCCAAACAAGAGGTCATAGGCAAATCTTAAGAGAACTGAGAGGTGGTATGTGTGAAAATCACCTTGATTATACTATTTTGCGGCATCCAGCATTCCACAATCCGTCTGTAATCTGCATAATGTGAAATTTCACACTTTCAATTTATTGACAAAAATCTGCTGAAGCAGATTCTTACTTGTTGCGCGATAGCCACGCCTACCCACCAACAGAGAACCACATTATAAATAAAGAAGAGGGCCCCTGACAGAACCAAGGTTTCTATGAGGGAGAGGGGGAAAAAGCACGCAACTGGAGGGCTTCCAGATGGTGTGGCAGTAAAGACAAATGATTCAACAACCTATGTTGTTAAGTACAGATATTCCTCAAACACCTTAAACGGTAATTTATTTTGGTGCCCATAGCCTGCTGAAAGAAGCGTCATGGCTCTGGGTTTTGGTTGAGCCACGTCTTGTGACGGAAACACTGCTGGTAAGAGGTGTGGGTTTTACTTCTCGCCTCTCTGGATAGTCTCGCTTAAGAGTTGACAGGATATCGGGTCATTAACATGCCGAGGTTTAACCGCACACCAGTGGCGAACCAGGTAGTAGGCCAATTCGCACAGATGCATTTAAAGACGGTAGACTGAAGTGAATAGGCTGCGACATTTACTCGGATGACGTTGTTGAACCGAGGTAATCTACTGGCATCCAAGCTGCATAGTAGGTGACTGCTCTGAACCACATGTATGAATGGAGTCGTACTAACCAAAGGGGCATAGTCACTGACCTAAACGCATCCCACATTAACCAGGAGAGGACTGACATCTTCGGAGTCAAGCATCTTCGAGGGTGGCACACACTCCTCGATCCTAGAAGGTACTCGGCTTCAAAGCACAATCAAAGAAACGCTCCTCAATCCAGGGCGTAAGCCATGGCTTCTAAAATTAGTTTGTACGCATCAGAAAGAGAACGAGGCTAACCTACAGCACTTACCCCCACAAACCAATAGTTGTCACGCTGTGATATCTCTTAAGTTTCCTAAGTGTGGTACACAAAACAATTCAGTTTGTGCTGAACGAAATGAATGTTGCGCAGAAATGCTGACAATCATGGAGTGTAGGATTAAACAAGAACAGGCTGTGGCTAAAGGTATAGGGATTTAGAAAAGGCCCAGGAAACATTTAGAGCTGCATTTAACGAAACAACTCTGCCAACTTTCCGTGGCCGTTATCATCAGATTTACTTAACCAGTCCTGCATTCAAATGGAATCCTACAAATCGCATTCGTCAGTGGGAAATATTGGCACCGAAACCTGATGACGAACGCGCACACCCCAAGGTCATGACTGTGATGCGGCCTCACCTTCAAGAATATTGGATGATTCAAACGATGACCGGATAATCTTCAAATTCGAACTGAGCCTGCTTCAACAAGCCTCCTATATGCCATAAATCACAGCATCTAATGTATAGCATAACATTGTACATAATAGTTATCTCCCATTACCAAAGTGATCAAACCTGTAAACTGGTTTGTATTCATGTAACCTTTGTCGCATGAAATATATTATTATTATTATTATTATTATTATCAACCTTAGTGGGTTGGTAAGAGTATCTTGAGACTTCTGAGGAGCCGAAAGCAGCTATGAAACTAATTTTTACGAAGTGATGTCAAGCCCTTCCAGATTCCATATTTCAAGGTCAGGAGCGTTTGTGGGTCCAGAAAAGTTGCCAAAGGTGAATTTCAATCGCCTTTCAATCCTGTCGGAAATGGTCATCCTCCTACACTGTGAAGAGAACTGAAAGTCAGGATTGAGTCTCATCTCCTCGACCATCGAGTGTTTTGGTGGAGTCTAACCTCTCCAAGGATGGCCGTCTCTTTGACTGCCTCTGTATGGTTTTTGGAGTAGGAATATTATTACCTTTACTGGCATCACCGAAAATGTCCTGCCAGTGGACCTAGTGGACTTTTCTTTTCAGCTACTGAGCCATTTCAAAACTGGAAAATCACATGTTGCTGATGGCCTGCACCAGAGAATACCGCCTACCTTGACAGACACCATTGCCCGAGTGTTTGCCGGAATGCTTGCTGCATCCACCCGTTGGACGTGGCCCCCAAAACCAGAAAGGTTCTACAATAGAGGCACTACGTAGTCAGAGAAACAGGCATGGGAATATAGCCTTATTAGCCTGGTCAGAATAGTTATTGAAGCGTTAGGGACGATTATCAGGAATCCAGAGCCGTTCACGTCAAAATCCATGGTCACTCCGCGTCTCCATAAAATGAACTTCACGTAGGCTCGTCTTGATTAGCTTAAATCCCCGTAACAGAAGAGAAACGGATGGCGGCAAATGGCAACAAGCCGATAGCAAATCTTGTAATAACCAATTTCAGTGTTGCCTTTGTTTAGGTCACGCACAGTGGACCGGTGACAGAGCTCCCAGCTTTGGGCATGGCTGGACTAAAACAGGAGACGAAGAATGGGACTGAATGAAACACTTTGTGAGTGGCGCTTCGTCAGGGGATGGAATTCTTCGAGAAACAACATTTAATTTTCATCCCATGCCTGCTGTATATCGATAAACTAAACATGATTAATTAATTCCTACCTACTGTGTAGAGGCTGTTGGCGACGACGATGATAGGCGTGCATTACAAGCGAACCTGAATTTGTCGGTCAGGTATTCCAGGCGTTAGTGCCGATTAGTTCTAGAGAATTTACGGCTATGCGTAATGGCCCTTTATGGAGGGTGGCGGGTTTTACAGAGCTCGCAACGGCAACTACAACGAGCAGAAATTAAAATGATCACACTACAACTTCATAATCATCGAACTTTATGATTTACTCATTATAAAAGTGACCCAGAAGGCCCGACACTTATCGACAGCAATGCTGTCACGAACAGTAAAAGCGGCGGACAGGATGTCATGGAAGTCTACTTGGCTCATTCAAACAAGTATGTTGCTTCCAGGTGCCGAAGTTGGAAAAGTGAAGATATTTGGCTCTCAGTCGTAATATTCAGCAGGGTCATGAATCGTTAATACGAAATGTTATTCACATACATGAATCATACAGTTCTGGAATCACCAACGAATCGCAATAATTAAACAATTTGTGCATACATTCCCTCATAAACGTTTCATCATTATCTCGAGCAGAAAGTGCAGACTGTTACAATGTAAGTATTAACTTCAAGCTTTATTCTTCTTCGAGTGTAGCATGTAATGTAGAGATACAAACCCAGTTTGTTTCGTTGATGCGAAGACGGTAATTTCGCTTGTCCAACTTGTACATTTTCGTATACTTATTCTGCTGGGATGTTTCATCATATGAACATGCAGATATTAGATCTTCTAGAGACAGTAAGTGAGGGTTGAGATTACCTTACGTGAGGACAGATGCAATTTATATAAAAACTTATTCACACCCGTAAAATGGTATGTGCATGCATATTCAGGGATAAACGTTGTTAGTATTATTATTGTTATTATCATGTAACAGATGTTATGCCAGCGCGTAAGTCACAAGAAATTAGATTCCAGGGTTGTATGGAGCTATAACTTGAAGACGCCTGTACATCGTATAGAAGCCTGAGGGAGCCCACCGGGTACCTTTGTCTCTTCGTGCAGCATGCAAATCCTTTGATGAAGAAATTTTCGGGATGTTGAGCCTCACTTTTGTTCCACCCATCTCAGATCCTGAACCCGAACGGACAGTCTTCGGGTCTCAAAAGGTGTTAAGGTAGCCCAGTGTGTTCAGACACCTGGTACTAACTTACTGACTGATTTATCTGACATATCCTGTGATGAACGTCAAAAGCGACCAGATCTTGTAACGATAATAAGGGTATATTCACTATGGTTGTTTTGATATCATACCTCCGTTGATTGGACCGAATCGATAGGTCTCTATTAGCATATGGGCCTTTTTGGGGACACCCGGACACCACCTGTGCTCTAATTATGGAAATGATGGACGGTGGGTAGCAGTGGAACCCAGGATGGGCATTTCGTCCTATTTGGGACCCGTCAGATCGATGTACCCACCTCTCAGAGGGTGATGTTATCCCCTCCGGAATTTGGACTCCAGAGCGATCGCTTTAAACGACAGAGCGTTACCTAGCAAACCATCGAGCCACGATAGCTGCCTCTTGTGCTACAGGTACAGTACTGGTGTAATTTTTCCATTTTATGCTACCATTGGCTGGACCTAACTGATTGGTCACCGTTAGCATATGGGCTTCCGTGCGGGTGTCCCGATGTTACCCGCTTTCTACCTGACTAGCCACTATTGGGGTGGATTAAGTCTTTCCCCAGTAATCGCACTCAAGTGGTGAACGTAGATTCACACACTTCAAAACCGAGGCCAATCACTTCTGGTGTTGTTCAAGGCAGTGTATTAGGCCCCCTTCTCTTTACTTTATACGTCATTGACATATGCAGCTGCCTTACATACGGCAAACCATTCTTGTTTGCTGATGACCAAAAAGTTGCATACACATTCACCCGTGATCGTTTATCCCACTTTCAAGCACTAACACGAAGGGAGCTCGATATAATATCCGCATGGTCTACTGCTTGGAAACTTCAGTTCAATATGGGCAAATGTGGTTGGATATGTTTTGGTGCTACATCGGTGGACATCCAACTACATCTTCAGTCTACGAAATTACCTGTTCTTAAAAGTGTGTGTGGCCTCGGACTAAGATATTTTAAGGGACCTCACATTTTATGAACAGGTAGCATCACAGACTCGCAAATATAGGATCTTGATGGGCTGCATGGTTCGTAACTTCCACTTCAAAGAATTCAAGTTGCTACTCCACAAAACTTGCGTACGTTCACTGTTAGAACACTGTCCATTTATACTGAGTGGTATCCGCATGAAAGACAAACAGGGTGTCCAAAGGTGCTTCACAGCTAGATTGTTGGGACACGATTGCAAACAAGACCACAGCTCCAGATATAGAACACTAAGTCTAGAAACACTTTGGATGAGACAACTCAAAATTAACCTGACACTCTATATATATATTATTATTATTATTATTGCTCTTCTCCAATGTGTTGCATAAAAACACGTTTACAGCCAGTGGTGAGTTTCAGTTCAAGCACAACAGTTGTTACGATCTGCGCAACCACGCCCATAGCGTCAAAATGAAGTCGTTTATGTCCTGCTTGCGCACAAACTTCTTTGCCGTCAAATTCTCTCAGTTGTGGAACAGACTTCCAGCTGAAGTGAAGGCCTCCAAATCAACCTCCGAATTTGGTCGGTTAATGGTTGACTTCTTACCATCTGGTGGCTTTTCCGGCTTGTCGAATACACCAACAGTCTCTCTCATGACGCCTCGTACACTCGGCTCTCTTAATGTATAATGAGAGCCACCACACCCACACTGACCTTTCATACGAAGTGTTGAGGAGACTTTCATGAGTTATCACCTCAAACTAACGGCGTATTTTGCCCCACCCAACACGGTAATCAAAGACAGAAATCCTACACCACATAACAGCATAAAATTTATATTTTTAAATACTCTATAGAATAGGGATATGCAATGAAAGCCATAGCAAGCGAAGTCAAGTAGTTAGAAACACGAACATAGAAAACAGTCTCCTTGTTGAAATTCTTGCTTTCCCCGCTCGCTGCTTCGTCTGTTTTCTTCTAGTTGTAGAAGAATAATTCATTTCAAAACTTTGGCTTTGTTGCCATCGAGAATTGATTACACAAGGAACAGACCATGGCTGGAACTACCCTTCATGGAGGGTAACC